TGATGGCCTCTAATTTTTCAGAGGATAGTGGCCATTGAGGAACCCACACCGGATCCTCTGTTTTCCAAGGTATGGGCAGGAATCCCTCAACGGCCCCTAGGAAAAACCCAGACCTTTTCTATCTTGTTTATTGGAGGGTGAAATAAGTTTGACCCTTCCTTGGCTAAACTTGCCCAAACCACTTCCTTGTTCGTATCCCATTCTCGTCATCATTGCTTTAGCCTGTGAGGAATACGAGGTGATATGGGGTGACTCTATAGGATATTCATTGGACAGGGTGAAGCCCATACCTTGTAAAATATCTCTTCCCCAAAGATTAACAGGAAGAGGGAGCACATAAGGAATAAATCTTCCTTTCCTACCATCAGGTGCCTCCCAATACAAAGCAGTAGAACTGATGGAAGGACTAGATTGATACCCTAGCCCCTGTAGGGAATGGGAGGACTCAGTAACAGGCCATGTCTTGGGCCACCATTGTGTGGATATAATACTTTTGTCTGCTCCGGTATCCATAATTCCCTCAAAGCTTTTTCCCTGTACCTTTAGGATTAATTTGGGTCTTTCATTTAATGATATCATCAGATAAGCAGAATCATTTCCTGAGGAGCCAATCTGTCTTGTGTCTGTTTCTGTCTCATCTTCCATACCTGGCATAAGCAATAATTGGGCAATACGATCACCCTTGCTGATGGAGAACACTCCTTTTGGGCTAGAGGCCAAGACTTGCAATTCAGTAGAATGTTGAGTGTCTACTATGCCTGGCAAGACTATCAAGCCCTTTAGTGTAAGTGACGCTCGGCCCAATATAAGTCCCAGGGCCCCAGGGGTTAACATTACAGGTTCAACTGGGACTGGCTGGACTCCCATCTGAGGGATTAATAGGAAATCGGAGGCGGCGCGCAGGTCCAATCGGCACGGTCGCCCTGGGGGGACTCTGATCGTTCTCTCTCCTGAACTTCCTGGGTTTTGGTCCAACGGATCCCATATCTTTGAGGGCCCTGGGACCGAGGGCCCGCCACTCCGTTTTTTTTGTCATCTAAAGGAGGGAGAAGCCGGCCCTTCATGTCTCTAATGGAACGGCATGAACTGGCCTTATGGTATCCTTTGCCACATCTGTCACAGAGCGAGGGAACACCTGGTTTCCTGTTAGTCGTGGGGCAATCTCTCTTAAAATGACCAGGCTTGCCACACCTATAACAGACCTTAAGATTAGTTTTATCAACTGGGCGTCTCTGTGACTGGAGAATGGCTGCCGCCAATCCGGCGTTAGTAAGGGGTCCACCAAGCTCGCGACAAACCCGCAGCCAGTCTTGTAACCCCTTATGTTTTCGTGGGGCAATGGCTGCACGACATTCTTGTGTGGCTTGTTCAAAGATTAATTGTTGAATCAGAGGCTCCATCGGACTAGTATCTCCAAAAATACGCCCCGCAGCCTCTGTCATTCTAACCACATAGTCTGAGAAAGATTCTTGAGGCCCCTGAGCTATCCTGGTAAATTGTGTGTTGGCCTCTCCTTTCTTGGAGAGTGCCTTCCATGCCTTAATGGCTGTAGCTGCAACCTGAGCGTAGGCTCCCCCAGTGGTAACGGGTTTGGTCTGCAGCATAGGCTCCCTGGCCTGTCAACAAGTCCATTGTCCATTCCCTCGGTTCAGGAGTGAGAGCGACAGCGTTGGCGCGAGCCTGTATTTGTGCGGCTTCGTACCGTAACGCCTTCCATTCCATGTATTGACCCATGCTGGGAAGGGCTACTTGAACAATCACTTGCCAATCTGCGGGAGTTAAGGCATTGCTGGCAAGTCTATCTAATTGTACCAAAGTAAAATTGGCGTTGGGCCCATATTTACGAACTGATTCGGCCAATTCTTTTAGTTGAGTAAAGTCTACAGGAGCGTACACTCGCCCTCCATTTTCTGTTTCAAAAACAGGGAAAGCTGTCCTGAGCTTCTTCCTGACTTTCTCTGAGAGCAGGGAATATCCCGAGTGAGGAGCATATGGGGGAGGAGGAATTGAGGGGGCCGAGGGAACCGTTTTCTTAGGGGGCTTCCTCAGAGGCTTTCTGATTCTACGCTCATCAGGATGGTATCTCTCTGCCTCGTACTCTGCTGCTTCCTCGTCTAACTCCGCCTCCTCTGTAGAATCTAATGACTCCTCACTGGAGTCCCCAGAGGAACTCTCTGCACTGTCGATAGTCAGTGCCTCTAGGTTGGGGTAAAGCGAGCTTTTCCCGTTAGGGGGTATCTCTCCTTTTTTAGGAGGGTTCTTTTCTTCAGCTGAAGGGTGTTCCTTTTCCTTTTGTTTCGGTACCTTTTTCCTACGCGTGCCCATCCTCTCACTGCGTTCGGTTTCTGACATGCTATCCTGAACATCTTCTAGCGTAGCCTGTCCTTTCCTTATGGCTATCTTACAGTTTTCATCTTGTAGGCAGTTCTTAATAAGTTTCCAGATCGCAACTGTGCCGTTACTCAAATCGTTGTCATCGAGGTGCCTTTCTAAGTCCTTTCCCAGTTTATTCCAAGAGGGGAGAGCCAAAGACCCAGAGACGGCAAACCAGGGGGCAACGCGATCCACCTCTTTTATGAAGTTCCTCAAAGTCCTGTTAGCAATTTTAATATCCCGCTGTTTGAGTACGGCCTCCAAAGTAGTGATTACTGACTGTGATGAACCCATGACGGCCGCGGCTTATCTACGTCCGACTAACGGCCGGGGAGTCAAGAGGAACTTTGTCCCACCTTTATCTACAGGAGGGAGAAAGAGACAAGACCAGTGTCACTGGCTATTTACTTCAGACTACTTTGTCACTAACAATGGCCACCGCGAAGACAGAGCAAAACAAGCACCATGAAAATGACAGCCAAGCACAACCCGAATATTTCAGGAATAGACATACCTCTCCGAACTCACCCCTGCAGTTCTGAATCCTCCTCTATCGAGGGGTCCTCCAAGGTGCTGACGATGGCAAGGTCAAGTGTCCCGGGTTTCTGGCACCAGTTGTCCCGCACAACCTCCCGCCAGCAGGAAAGACGCGTCACACTCAGGATCCTTCTGCAGTATAAGCTTTAATGCATCTTGAGAGGGAGAGCATAAGCTTCACAAACGAGGAGGGACCCCAAGGGCCTAAAACCCTTCCCTTATATAGAGAGCTAAGCTCGCCTGGGACGTGGCAGTCTCTGATGGGCTCCTGTTGCCTCAGGCCACATGACATGTTCCAACTGTCAGATTAATCAAGGCGGGAAAACCTTCCAGCGCATGCGCACAGACTTGTTAATGGCAATGATGTGATAAGGATAGCTTCCCACACCACAGATATGGGGAAGGACCCTCATACCCGTAAAGGGAATGCCCCAGATCCAGTTCCCTTATGGAGCCGAGGACTGATATGCCTGTCCAATACCACAGAAGGCACAGCTAACCAGCTACCACAAATATTGATGAAAAAAATAGATACCCTCACAAAGCCAGGCCCAACCATAAATACAATGAATAACAATTTACATCCAGGGAAGAGAAATCTCCCTGAGAATCCCCTTCTTTTTTCTTTCCAGGTAAAAATGAATCACCCATGATGCCTGCTGTTAGAAGTTCTAATCCAGATGGGCCAGAAGCCAGGATCCTCACCCTTACCCTCACCTCCTACCTTTTCCCACCTGCACAAGGTCCCCTGAAGCTTGGCAACTGCAAGATCCTGCTTGGTAACTGCAGATAGACTCAAAGCAGTGTACCATATCTTCTGAAGAATAGCAGGTTGCAGTCCTCTTTGCCCCCACGAATAACTAGGACCCGCCGGTCAGGTCAAGTGGCACTCAGACGTGGGGGTCGAGGCACAGACCCCTCCGGACGGACCCTCATTGAGAGGATGTGCGCACGACATCAAGATTGATCGAGATAGAGATCGTAGCCCGCGACCTGTCGTCCTCGGAACCAGGTTGATGCTGCCATCAAGAAGACGGTTGAAGTTCATTACCATCAGCTGAAAATTGAAGAGGATCCAGAAGTGACTCCGCAGGAGACTGACACAGCTGCCAGCTCCCCTGCCTCCCCCTACGGTCGACCCCTAGACTTCCATGCCCTCCAGAAGGGTTCCTGGTATGCCTGGCTTTGCCCTCGTTTCTCTCGCTAGAGAGCTTGGCCTCTTGATCACCACAACAAAAATTGGCTTTTTCCTAAACTAAGGCCGCCCTTGATATGGCCGCTAACATTGGGGAGCCTTCCTTTATGACAATATTGCACCCCAAACTGACAAATGGTTGGTAACTTGAACATTTACAAGAGACTAGGATGGCTGTGAGTTAGCCCAATGACGGGATTATTGTAGGTCCACTTCCCAGGGGCCCACCCAATGCAGCCGAAAAGGAGTGTGTGGTGCTGGGAGTGGGTGCAGCCTACATGGCCTAAGACAGGGCTCTCACCCTCCTTTCACCCACATCTGAGTCCCTTGACGTTGCCCATCGTCAACAGCCTAAAACCTTCGACCATCGATGTGACTCGTCTCAAATCAGTGTTTTGGGGTTGTGAACTTGTCTAAGACCCCCCATAATTAGAAATCCAAATTCAAAATTCACATAGTTGGGATTGATCATAAGACGCCTTCTCTAACTAAACAGAGAAGGGGGAGATGCCAGAAGCCAGGACCCTCGCCCTTACCCTCACCCCCTACCTTTCCCCACCTGCACAATGTCCTCTGAAGCTTGGCAACTGCAAGATCCTGCTTAGCAACTGCAGATAGACTCAAAGCAGAGTACCATATCTTCTTAAGAATAGCAGGGAGACCATAACTCAAGCAGTGTACCATATCTTCTGAAGAACAGCAGGTAGATCATAATTCAAGGCAGTGTACCGTATAGACCATGACATGTTTCAAGGCACAGGCCAAGAAGATTTTGTACTTTTCCACCACGTGGCCCCTCTTACCCCCTCCCCTTGTAAAACATGCTATAAAAAAGCATTTCATGTTCAAAAAAAAAAAGAAATTATAGAAAAAAAAGGCATGTGCCACCTCTGCCCACCTTTTTATGTATTTTTAATTAAAATAATAAAAAATCTTAAAAAAAAGAAATATGTTCTTTTCTTGAGCGACACAGGTAAAGGCACAGGATGAACAATAGTTACTCTTAAAATGTAAAGGAAATGTTATTTGAAGGTGAGAGAATTGTATGGCCCATGGCATACATGACACATGGAGATCAGAAGAGAAGGAGAAGTGAAAAAATACAGTGAAGTGTGGGGAAAGGAGCACAGCTGAGCAAGGAAAATGTTATTGACAGAAATCCCCACAATACCCTACACCCAGAATCCATTTGCTCCTTGAGCTTTCTCTGAGTACTGATCCTTAATGGATGTCAACTTTTCTTTACACAATTGTGTGAGATCATCAGATTTCTTTCCCATGGTCTGCTCAAATGTAGTAACCAGAGGTCTTCTTGTTTATGTCCTGGTTCCATCTTGTTCCACTCTCTTGCTGTACCAAGCCTCTAACAGCACAATCACTAGAGTCACTAGAACCAAGGCAGCCATTACCATCTGTGTGAGATCTTCAACTGTGTGTCCTTGGTGCTGTAAGGCTGGGGCTTCTGTATAAAGAGTTCAAAGAAGTCAAGTAAAAAAAAGAAATTAAAACAGATGGTTGTGCAGCCAGTCCCCAGTCATGACAGAACTAGATCCTTTGTGTCTATATTTAATTGAGAATTATATGATTCTTAAATGCTCATGAATTTTTCATGTACTATTGGTTTGAGCTTCCCCAAATAAAATATTTCTGTAGACTATATGAAATGCCTTTTAAAACGCTGATTCCTCTAAGAACCTCATGTTTTGGCTAGTTATTTTTCTAGAAAAGCATGTTTTTCTCATGACATCTCATCTTGTAGAGTCTACATGAATTTTCCCTGTTGTTTCTGATTTGGGTGGAAGTCCAGCTTCTCTTTACCAACTCCAGAAGAGGCTTCACCAACCCCTAATGATATCACAAGTTAATATACTCTCCCAGGAGAGCCCTCACCTACCATTTTCAGTGAGAGTGAGGAATTTATTCTTGAATTCTGTCAGAACTGGATAGAGAGGTGAATATTTGAACTCTTAGCCCTTCACTATGACCTGTCTCTTTCCACTTCAACTTGGACCTTAAGTAATTCCAGCTGTCTATAATCCTGTTGTAGACATATGTTTGTGACTTCAGGTTCTTAAATAATATAAGTTACAGATAAGTTATAGTGCATCATGTAAGAGAGCACTTGTATCTGGAGATTCTGTTGCTCTTTCTCTATCGGAGGGATGAAAGTTTGTTGAACTGAACAATTTCCTTACTCTTTTTCTAGGCTAGAAATCTTCTTAGAAAAGATACCCAAGTGACTCTACACACTAAGAAAGGGTGGGTCAAGAGTTCTTACCTGACACCAGAAGGTCAAGAGGGTCGCTTGATTTTGACCACACTTGTGGCAGGTTCCTAAAATAGCCATACTATCTGAATGTCCCATTGTCTTTGGGAGTTACAGAGCCCAGAAGAAAAAGAGACTGGAATGACTGATTTACAAGTTTCTGTGAGTCCATGGTCCATGAGAGGTTAGATTTTTCTTCCTGGATCAGAATGAATCTGCCAAATCCAAGTAATGAACTACACTGCATGATAATACACTCTCCAGAGGTCACAGCAAAATGAGGCCAGACTGACAGACTGGGTTTTTCGTAGGCTCCTAAGATGCGAGAGGCAGTGTGTGAAATGAACTTAAACTACCCACGTTGTCCTCTAGGCTTGAGAACTGAGAGAGGTATTCCTGGTTAGTAGATCTTCTTAGGGGAGATCCTGTGCTGGGAGCCCAGACTGTTCTCTTACCTGTTACCACTAGCTCCAGAGTACTACTATATTCTGACAAGCCAGCAGAGCTATTATAGTAACACTTATATAATCCTGTATAGATGGTTTCTGTGTGTTCGATGTAGAACATGGCCTTGTTTCTGGTTTCCATAGAGATCTGTCTGTCCCAAGGATCTACTCTTCCCTCTTTATGCAGAAGGTACTCCTGGGCCTCCCAGGACCCCTGACACCAAATAGTCACAGATGTATTTTTAGCAATCACCGATCCTGGCTCAGCCCAGATGATGGGTTTTGTGAGGGGTCCTGCAAGGAAATCAAAAGTCGAGTTCCAGTATAATCTTACCTAAGACCAGCACTTAGCACAAAACATTCACAGGAATCACAGCATAAATACCTCTTCCCATGCCCATTTTAAGGAATTAACCCATTGGAGATCAATAAAGAGGTCTGTTCCTCAGAAGGAAGTATCAAATACTGTGATGGCTGGAGACAGTCACCTGCTAGTACTGCAGTCCTTTGTTCCTCAGTAAGACCTGAAAGAAAATTCTCTCTGAGAGCATTATCACTCTGAGAACCAGGGTGTATTCCCTGGGAAATACATATAAAATCAAACCTGTGTGGAGTATTGCCCCTTGGAGACATTAGTGTCCACTCCCCCCTCTTCATATCTCACCTAGATACAGCAGCACTCTGAGCATGGGGATCATGGTGAATCTTGATAATGTTCTTAGCAGTGCTCCTGGGACAGTATACTGTGTTCTGTACTACCAGCAGACAGGCTGTTGTCATTCTGAGGGCAGATTCTTCCTGTTCTGGGTTTGCCACATCATCACTATCATGGGAAGGGGAACTTTTCTTTATTCCTGTGCAGAAGCTTGTTTACATAATCAAGACTCAGAGGAGTCTTTAGAGAAAATTGTCTTTTCTCTATTCCTAAAGTTTTCCATCTATCCTCTCTGTTTTCCAAGCCAGAGAACCAACATTCACATTTCACAGCATTTTAACTTACAAAGAAAAGAAATTCTAGATCTTGGTTATGCAAAAGTGGTTCCAAAGCAGCACAGTATTCTAAGACAAGAAATTTCCATGATCTATCTATTGGAGATCATAACCCTAAGGTGGCTTCATCAACTACCATCAAATATTCCTTAAGGCATGTGTCAGGGCAGACTCTGATCTTTTCTTCCCTAAGCTCCAATTGTGTTTGACAAGTTTTCACACAATGCCCTGATCCACTGACAACCAAGGACCAGCATTTTCCAATTCTTTTGACTCTTTTTACTTCTTTTTGTGACATCAACCTTATTGTCTACTTGTTTCCATTATTACAATGTTAATATTTTGTTGAGATCACCATGTCTAAGTACTCTTCCAAGATCCACAATTTAATTCCTACATGGCCCAGAAGTTCAGGCTCTAGGAATGAGAATGCAGACAACTCTGATTCAATTATTCTGTTCCAAAAATGAAACTTCTATTCTTTCCCCTGAACTTTGGTCACTTGCTTCTACTATCCCAGAAATATAATAAAAGCACCAAGTTCTAGGGGATATTTCTGCACTGGGGAAATCTATCTTCTGTGGATGATATAAAATAGATACAGTATTTCCCTCTTTCAGTTCCTGTAGCTGTTATTTCTGCATGTGATATTCACAGTTCAGTGCATATAAGTATTTCATTATTGAAGACAGGAGGGTTTCACAATACTTGGCCTCATGCTGACATATTTATAAGCTGACAGAGTGAGATAAGAGAGAAAGAAATAGAAGTTTGTTCAGTGGTAAAGCTGTTTAGAAATTGCCTAAGCTCATGTTCTCAGCCTTGTACCCATACTTTGGTTGAGTAATCACAATAAATTCATTAGTTCACTGCACTACACTTGGATAACATTGTTTATTTGTTTTTGCCAGTGGTGACTTATTAGGGTATGAGGTGGTTTGTTCCTGTTACTCTAGGTAATGTTCTGATAAAATTGTTCTTTCAACTATTCTTGTAATAGAGGAGTACCTATAGGATTGACTCAGGAAGGCTCTGCCAGAGCCTGAGAAATACAAAGGATTCTTGCAGCCAGCCACTGGACTGAGAGTGGTGTCCCTGATGGAGGAGTTTGAGAAGAAACTGAAGGAGCTGAGGGGGGTTACAGCCCTGTGCAAGGAGCAACAGTGTCAACCAGCCAGGCCCTCTTGGAGCTCCCAGGACCACCAACCAAAGAGTACACATAAAGGGACCCATGGTTCCAGCCACATATGTGGCAGAGAATGCCCTTGTTGGACATCAGTGGGAAGAGTGGCCCTTGGTCCTGTGGTGGTTCGATGCCCCAGTGTAGGGTAATGCCAGGGTGAGAAGGCAGGAGTGGGTGGGTGGGTAGTCAAGCACCCTCATAGAGGCAGGGAGGGGGGGTGAGATAGGGGGTTTCTGGAGGGGCGATGTGGAGAGGGAATAACATTTGAAATATAAATAAAAAATATCCAATAAAAGAAAAAAGAAGCTAGCCTAAAAACAATCACCATTCTCTGTTAGCCTCTACATTACCTAGAAGACATAAAGTATACTATGTTTGTGGAATTTCCAAAAATAGATTTTTTTTCAAGAAAATGACAAATCTCATCTTTCTTTTATTTTTATTTATTCATTATTAAATCTTGAAATGTTTATTCAACTTGGCTTCATAATCCTATCAAGCAGACACTTACATTCATTCCCCTTTCCCTGTCTATGTGCAGAAACATTTCAACAGAGAGCTTGTGTCTGCCCAACCCTTATACTTTGTGTGAGGAAAGAGAAAACAGGTGTTTGTCTGTTTGATGGAGTACGTACTTCTGAGGAGAACCTGAAGACGCTGTCCCCAGCTGGCCTGACAGAACAAGCTACTGATATCTGAACTGCAGCTAAAGTGAAATGACGCCTCAAAGATGTCAGGCAGGTAAAGTTATTCATGTACGGGGTAGACATGAAGTCTCAGGACCTAGGGACAAACTACCAAAGTGAGCATCTACAAGAGTTCCCAGAAAACCCTGCCTTCTGATAATAAAGTTTTGGACTGGACCTACTGACTCTGGCAGAATATGGCAGATATGGAGTGATGTTAGGCTTTAAAGTAAATATGCAGCTCCAAATTTCATGCTTTTTCTCTTAATATTTCTGTGGGAGCCTTCAAATGTCATCATAGACTTCGAAAACCTGCAATTTCAGGAGGACAATGTACTAGACATACCCAGATAAGCACGTCATTCCTGAACCAAGCAAAGCCATGCGAGAATTGTCAAGTCGGGCTTTTAAACGTTAAAGTACATTGTTACACAGGAAAAGATAAGTCAAAGGCAGATCATAAAAATTGATGAGACTGTTGCAGTCAGTACTGGAAACAATTAGGAAATGACACCAGCCCTGCTTATTTGAAAGGACTCAGATAAAATGATGGCTGGTGCCCTGTATCTCAGGACTAAAGAATAGACAGGATGGGACAAGGATTGCTGCCTTTCATAAAACTGGCTTTTCATACATCTTGTCCCATATTTCTAAAACTCTCTACCCCCAATCCCCTTCATCTAGGCTTCTTCATTTTAAGATCTCAAAATTGCATAGCATTACATGGTGTTAATAGAAGCTCTAAGTTCATTACCTCTGAAAGTTACAGTTTCATTCACTTCAAGGAAGCAAGCACCAGCTTTTATGCTGTTCCAAAACCAAAGAAAAATAGCTCTCTATGGAAAAGATTCTGTGATTCTTTGGAAAAAATTCAATTCAAAGAGAATAAAATTAAAATTATTTGAGGGCTTTGTACTTAGTGAATTTGTAGAGGAAGAATGTGAAACATATGTAAAAACTTAAAATAGTGGCATTTAGAAACCAAAACTGAAAAAAAAATCAATATAATCTAAGTCTGAGCTAATGGAGTCTTGCTTGCTATTTTAATTAATTAATTAGCTCATTAATTAATTAACATCTCAAGTGTTGCCCCCAACCTGCCCTTCCCCACCCCATCCTCCCCCCTCTCCTCTGAGAGGGTGGAGCCCCCCAGTAACTCTCACCTTGTCACATCAAGTCTCTGCCAGATTAGGCACATCCTCTTCCACTGAGGTCAGACAAGGCAGACCTGTTGGAGAATGGATGCCAAAGTCAGGCTACAGCTTTAGGGACAGCCACAGCTCCAGCTGTTGGGGAATCCTGGACACTGAGCTGCATGTCTGCTACATATATGCTGGGGGCCTTGTTCCAGTCCATGTGTGTTCTTTGGTTGGTGGCTCAGTCTCTGAGAGCTCCAAGGTGTCAAGGTTATTTGACTCTGTTGGCCTTCCTGTGAGGTTCCTATCCCTTCCTGGGCCATAGATCCTTCTGCTATTCTTCTATAAGAGTCCTGACCTCTGTCCAATGTTTTTTGTGGATCCCTGTATCTGTTTCAGTCAGCTGCTGGCTAGAACCTCTCAGAAGACATTTATGCTAGATTCCTGTCTGCAAGCATAACAGAGTATCAGTAATAGAGTCAGGGGTTGATGCTTGTCCATGGGGTCGGTTTCAAGTTGGGCCCATTAGCCATTCCTTTATTCTCTGCTCTTTCAAACAAATGCTATGTTTTCAACATAAGCCATCTCTCTGAAGACTAAATAAGGAAAGACTATCATCAACAACATGAGTGCATGTCAGAATGTATTTTTGGACTTCTGCAGACAAACCTGAAAATATATGAAAGAAATATATTCTTTGGGTATTTTTCTCAATGCTGGCACAAAATTACCAGCTTCTCTCACATCAGATTCCATTATGGAAGAGTGGAGAATGAGATATACTTCAAAGATAGATGAATGGAGCTAGAAACACTCAGAGTGGGCAAACCAAGACCCGCTAATATAAACACCATATGTTTTCTCTCATTTGTCGGTGTTAGCATTGAATAACCTCAGATGTGTTTGCTTCATATAGAATGCATCTATACATAAGGAAATGAGTCAGTGAGTAAAACTTAAAGGGATGCAGATAAAACAAAATACTATCACAGAATGAAGAAGAATCAAAGTACATGAAGAGTTAATAAGGGGGTAGATATGAGGATAGGATAGAACATGGACAAGACAGAGGGGTATCTCTAAATACATTTCAGAAGGTTCATATGGAAGAAAAGTACTACTGTAGGGTCCTCCTAAAATATGTACATTGATGCATATTGAACAGAAATTGCCATATTAGACACCACAGAATAAGGAACAAAATGTCCAGTGTCAGAATCTCTTCTGGAAGCTTTGAATCTACTTGATATCTTTCATATTAGAAGGTGGCAATGCCAGAATGGAGAAAAGATTAATTACCTGCCCTAGCCATCTGTGAACCTGTAAGCTTAAAAAAAATGATTGGAGTGGAAATTCTTATATTCTTGGTACTTTTCCTATCTATAATACATGCAGAATTAAAGCATTGTCTAATAGTACATTTTAATTCTATCTTCTATTAGAAGTCAATGAGGCACAATGAGTATATAACAGTGTCCAGTGATCTGTGAATATAATTATTCAACATGAATGTGTGGAATGGCTTTGTAACATCTGTTCAACATCTAAAAACATAGTAATGTCATTCATCACAGCAAACTGTAGAAAAGGACAAAAGCAGAGGTCGTAGCAAAAGCAGTGTTTTTCATTATGACATGGCCATTCCTCATAAAACCTCACAGAAACTTAGGAATGTAGAATATCTTTTTAATGATATCATATTTGAATACATTGGAGTAATGCTATATTTAATTAATAAAGTCAGAAATGGCCTCTG